CCCCAAAACCCCAAAACCCCAAAACCCCAAAACCCCAGTAAAGATTTTTGATGTTGAAATTCATAATTGATCTGATTAGCTAATTCCTGTAGGATTCATTTTCTTGAGTCCAACAGTATCCAACATTTGTCTTGCTTCAGCCTTTGTCATTCCACATTGATCGAGGTAAATATCAACCTTAGTATCTCTGACATACTGCACTTTAGAGAGCCCTGCAATCAAATTCTTAAATTGAACGAACCCTTCTCTTTTCCAATCTCCATGCTTTTCATCTCCAGTTTGATAAAACCTTAAATTTGTAAACTTAGCATCATCCAGTCTAGTTCCAAAATTACATTCTTCATTGATCTCAATGTCACAATAATACGTACAAACTGTCTTTCACTTCCTAGCAGCCACTAGAAGATCCTGGTACTCTGTCTGGCTCAGAGTAAAGTTTATAACATAAAAAAAATAGTCAGGAATAACAGAGGCAACTTTCTTAAGAGCTTCAAAGTAATTTAAACTGAAGTTTGCACTGAAGTTATTGTCTGTGTTAGGAGTGAAGTTGAAATAGAACTGTTTGATCTTGGAGTGGATGGCATTCTTCATGAAGTTGGTGATGATCAGAGGCTGGTTGAACTTGTTGATGTTTGAGATGTAGACTGAGTTTAGTTCTGGGAGTTTATAGTGTTGGAAGCATTTCATTAGAGTCTGGAAGCTTGACTTTGACAAGTCAAAGGTAATGCTAGAACCACTAGTGAAAACTTTGCCAGTTTCTCCAGTGACTTTTGCATATAGTTCATTGAAAGATTCGTGAGTGGGTATTGGAGTCTGATCATTAAGTTTTTGTGTAAGGTCTTCAATCTCATGCTTCATTTCTTCAATTTCTTTGGAGGCTTCATCTTCATTATACTTTCTGTCTTCATGAATAACTTGTTGTGACTCTCTGCTCTTGAGTTGTTCAAGTGATGTCGCAATATCATCTAGCTTAACTTTCAGTTCTGATGGATTGGTCTCTTCAACATTTAAGACAGGAATTGAATCCTTAGCAAGTAGATCAACCTCATTGACCAGTGCAGTTAGCTCAGCTTTGCGTTGATTCTTTGATTTTTTGCTGGGACAGTACTCGACCTGGTCTTTACTGAGCTTCATGCCGAGAGTCATTTGTTCTCTCACATAAGCCTGCATAGCTTCAGACTCATAGAGCCTAGTAATTCAATTAAAGCAGTCTGTTTGGAGAGAGGGAAGGTCAATTAGGGTTCTCTTGTCTTTGATCTTATAATATCTACCTAAATTATTGGAGAAAAGTTCCTTACCTCTCAGATCTTCAAGCTCAATTTCCAGCTCCTTCAGATCAGACAGGTATTGAGACCAAGCATTTCCGAGGTTCTTGGTGTCCTTCATGGCTTTGATCTTATCCAAGATGTGATATCCTAAACCATTATAAGCGAATGTCTTTTAAGAAAACTTCTCCATAATTTAGAGAAACTTACAACTTTGTATTGATATTTTTAATAGTTATAATCTAAAATAACTCGGCTCCAAATAACCAACTTGTCATTTAGAACTTAAGGCCTTGTAAATAGACTTACCCTCTTCGATGCAAGAGTAACTTGTCCTAGGATTCGGAATATGCGTGTGGGGCTTGTCGCTATGCAACAATCCTGCACATGGACCGCAGTAATATTGGCCTACTTGTTCAACGAACACCTCCACAGATTGTGTGCAGAGGCTGTCTTGACACTGTTGGTTTATCATTAAATATGATAAAACTCAACTTCTTAAATATTATTCGGGGTTTTGGGGTTTTGGGGTTTTGGGGTTTTGGGGTTTTGGGGTTTTGGGG